GCATTGCTCCATTCGGTTCCGCTATTCTCCCTCATTCCTATTTGGGCTACTGCTTCCTTTCTATTCAGTCAGCTAGCCATTCCCCACTCCCAACCTCCTTCCTTCCTCCTTGGGCCTTGGCCCTTCACTCCTCCTTTGGGAAACACCATTGAGTCAAACCCTTGACCCTCAGTGTTGTCCCCTCTTTCAGCTCCCTTTGTCTCCTTTAGGAGTACCCTTGCTCCTTTTGATTCCGGACCCCTCCTTATATACAATGTACATAGTAACTTGTAACCTCAGTCCGAAATCGACCTGAATTCCCCCCAAGAGACTTTCCCTCTGCTAGATCCGAAATTAGGGACCCCTAGGACAACCAGCAATGGCACAGCGCTCCGCCTGAGTCGCTGAGGCCGAGGTCCTTCCATGCTAAGTCTCCGATTCCATTCCGGAGTCGTCCGAATCCGCATGTTCTAACAGTTTCCCATAGTAGTTACCTCATCGAATCCCGATGTCTCAAGGGGGATGACTTCAGTGATTTGGTTTGGTGTTGGGTGGATTGCAACAGTTTGCCTGAAATTGTCGAAGTCGATCTTGTGTCACCTCAGGCCAGGTACGTGATTGAGTAACAGACGCAATATGTTAATGACACAGACATTTTCTAGATGTTTTCGGTTGACATCATCCCAGATCCTTGTCAACATGATGTCATCATGTTTGACATGCCACTGGCATTCCTTGTATTCAAAACCATCAAAAGCCTCTGCAGCCACGCCAGGCTGCATGATCAAGGTAGTGTCAGGATCCGGACCCCAGCTGGGAGTGGCCAGAGGGCGAGGCCGGGTGTGGAAGCTGGGGTACTCTCCCCAGGTGCTAACTCCTCGAAGTCGCTGAGGGGACTGGCCTCAGCCTTCACAGGGAATGAGCTGAGAAGAAGGGTAAGCTTCTCAGCCCCCTGTGAGGCCGACACAAAAGGACCCTAGGAACTATACAGTTCCCGCTTGCTGCCGACTTTCCATAATCGGTGTGACCCATGGGAAAGTTCTGGGCAAGCTGCTTGCCCAGAATGTTCCCACGGTTGTGGCTGTACATTTCTGGGCGAGTCGCTCGCCCAGAACGTTCCCACAGGTTCGCATGCACGCGTCATTATGTGAAACAGTGGGGGGAAGGATAAGGGGAATGGGGAAATGTGGAGAGAGGGTGGTTAGGAGAAGGGTGAGGGTGTCTGAGGGTGAGTGGGGTCAAGGGCTGTGCCCTGACAGGTAGCGGCAGTCCCACTTTCCATAGATGTCTGTGAAGAGAGAGATGGCCACCAGTCTTTATGGTACTGATTGATGTTATCATAGACAATGTGAAATGAAGCCAGTTTGTTGACCCAGTTAGTCCCTATGCTGCGAATTTTCTCCGATGCAACTGCGCTCATTGAGTATAAGCACTTGAGGCTACTTGCAACTGAAACCCCAATGTGGCCAGCAATTGACTGTAATGACTTTGAAGAATTCTCAGAGAACATGAGTAATCCCATGATGCTCTGGAATTTGTTTAACCCTTTATTGCAAAAGTACAGTAGTACCATCAGCACAACGGCACATCCCTTACATGATCATTAGTTATTGGCAAGTACTGAATCAAATAATTCACTCACTGAATAGGGATCTCGTACATGATTCACCCCTTGCCCCTTCCCAGAGTCACTTAATTTCCGTTCTTTTAGCTGCTCTGCTCTCTCCCCACCAATGGCAACCCATGTCAACAACATCCAGGTCACAGGTGCAACACTGATGGCCATCTTCTGGACTGTGTCAACAGAGAAGTCCAGGACTGTATCCCAGCTAAATCGGGTCGTCGCTGTGTCCCTTGTGCGCAAATAAGGGCTTTTGAGTAGAGCCCTGACTTCTGTCTCCATCCGGTCAACAATGTGTGCAACAAAGTACTCCTGTAACTTGCTGTACATGTTTTTGCTGTGTGACTGAGTGCCTGGCTGAGAACCCATCATTGGAACGACATATTCTGGCAGTGTGTCATAGGTGGATTCATACAATTGCTGGGGCCGGGCCCATGGATGACTGTATAATGCATGGACAATATCAACCAGGTGGTTCTTCAAGGTACGTCCCCCTATAAACCACTTGAGCATCTCTTTTGCTGATATACTTAAGTGTGTGGTATCCCCAAACAGTGTAATGAGAAACTTGCCAAGGGTGATGTTCTGCGATCTTAGTATCGACAGTATAAGTTCCACTGTCACCAGCGGCTTGGGCCTGGGCTGACCATCCCTCAGGTTTAATTGCTCAAAGGTAGAGCTGTAACACGTAGGGCACCTTGAGGTGCTTCGGTGTTTATCAATCTCCATTGGTGTTTGGGAAGGACTGGATGCCGTCCATTTGGACTCAGCGGGATTGAACGAGTGGTGGCTTCTGGCACAGTCATCTCTGTTATGCCGTTTTGATGGTGAGAGTGGTTCCGGTGGGCTTCCAATTGACTCTACCCAATGGTTGGCAATAACAGCAGCTCTGCCTGAATTCTCACAGATTTTTTTCATTGGTGAATCTTGGTCCTCTGCAGCTTTGCGCTTGGGATGACCTCGTGATGGAATTGAGATTGCAGGCACGTAAGTTTCATTGGGGTGAGATCTAGAAGATATCCCCTGTGGTCTGTAGCCTGCCAAATTCCCCATCTGGCCGGGCACATGGAATAGAGGTAGAGCAGGAATTTTGACTTGGAATGCATCCATTGCGGGATCGAGGCAGGAATTTGCATTTGTTTGTACTGTAAATATAAACAAATAATTTCCATCCCGAAGAGCTCCTTCTATTCACTTAGACTGTATTGCTTAAGTAACACATGGCAACGGTGAAGACCCTTTCCAACTGTGACAACCATTCAGTAAAAATCCACATTCATGAACCGGGGTTTGGTTCCAGCCTCTATATATTATTACGAAGTCATAGAGGCTGGAGTCCTGCCTAGTTCCTGGCTGTCTGGAACCCCGAGACAACGAAGTTCTGCCATGTTTGATGCAGCATTGAGGAGCTTCAATAAATATACGTGAGTTGTCAGGAGGCAAATTCCCTTCACGGGTTTTGAAGGAGGGCCGCAGTAGGTCCACAGTGTACAGCACCACGATATCTCTCATCGAGTCCTTCGTCACATTCTTGGCCATTCATAGTCTCCCATCACCCATGAATACCGACCTCGTGCTCGACAAACATGGGAACTAGCTCGATGCCATATTGGAGAAACGTTCCTCCTAAGGCAAATTCCTTCATCGATAAACACGACGGTGTCCAACCTCGTAATCTGGGCTCTAATATAATTAAGTGCCAACCAATAAGCTTGCCGCAGGACACAACGACAAGCGAGATGTGCGAGTAATACGACTGTCGCTTATCGCACGAAAATTGTCCAAGGTATGGTTTATGTGGTCAACTCCCCCAGATGAGGTCGATTCGCATAACAATCGTGAATTGATGCCATTGTCCGCTTCGCAAAGCGAGTGTGAGATGGTGGCAACGATCAATAATACAGCCCATGGAGGACTATAGGTGCTTAGCCCTCTCCTTTTGTGTGCAATTTGCGGAAGCCGGGGAAAGGGAATATTGGTCCAAGTTGGCATCAAAAAGTGCTGATGCAAGCAATGTCACATTTTATCCAACACTTTCTGCGCTATGCTTTGTTCCGCCGCATCTCGGGGAACTGCATATTTGATCGATACGGCGATAACACAAAGCTCATAGGTATGGACGTCACGTTGCCGGGAACTGTGTCAGAGGGAGGGTGAAAATGGAATTTTTCAGATATCAAATTTCCTGCACCTTTCGCTTGAAAAGTTGCTAAAAATTACTCTAAAAACCCGGACAATGCTTCAAGGGTTGGGTCATCATCGAAGGGGGGCCGCCACACAGCTAGTAGTGGGCTGGTGCATTGTGTGTCCCAGGAAAATTACGTCCTCTGGGTTCCCCGGAAGCCAGAAGATCAGGAATACTTATGGTGTCCAAAGTCCGACCCAAAACCCAGAAGTCTGTCAGGCATTGGGTCTAATTTAGCGGAGAGAAAGTCGGGTGATTACGGTTCTGAGCGGAATTCGGGGTCCTGCTCGCAGTGGCTGTTAACGTTGTCTACTTCGTTCTGCTGTAGTATGCCGACTAACCAGCAGGCCAATCTCTGGACTAGCGCCTACCAGCATGCGACCTGGAAAGGGATCTAGATCAAATCCAAGGCCGAAAGCCCATTAGAATAGTGAGACGCATGATACCGGGTACAGAGAGAATATGGTCAGATGCTCAAATCACTTTGAAGAATATCCGAACGAATATTCACGCCGGAAAACAAACCAGGCCAACACGGAAAGAAGAATGGGTCGAAGACCACAGCACAAGGGCCCGTAGCACAATATGGGGACGAACCACTTCACAAGGTAAGCCCATCTACAATGAATCCCCCTCCTACATCATAGGATTCCAGAGGGGGCGAAGACGGAAGTGTACAAACACGCGCAGCCTGACGTACAGCCCCATGAGGCTTCAATATAATCAACCAAATCCCTGCTTTTTATTTAGCTCGAGGTGCCAATTCGCACGCGCGATGAGACAGGAGAGGTTTCAGCCGCTGCCGGGCACATCCGCATGACCGCAGATGCATCCTGGCTACCCACACGACGCGGCGGTACAGAAGGAAAACGAAAACACATCAAAAGTATACATGATGACCACTGTCCTAGGACACGGGAGTGCCGAGGCCGTCGCAAACAACCTTTAAAAGAAGAGATGACATCATGTGGACAGGTAGGACATGATTTTGTGAGGAGGCAAGAATAACGGAGTTGGTCAGCGCGAATCAAACACGGACAGCCACTCACAAGCATAGAAATCATGGGCAGGTGACCAGCCTCTCTTCAACAAGAAATCAGAGAGGTCTGCGAAGTATCGTGTCGCCCCCGACCCTTTTCTTTGAATTTGTTCTATCTGCTGTTGGTCGGTGGACTTCGTCAGGGCAATGGTCCAAAGCAGAGGTTTAGGCACTACTTCATTAAGGTGATTTGGAAGATACAGAATGATTACATAGTATGCGGCGAGTATCAATGTCAGTGCTAGTGCAATGTCGAAGTGCTCAGAAATGTGACAAAAGTACTTGGGGTAACCAGGGTGCAAAATGCTTTAGGGAATCACAAAGAGAAATCTCATTGAAGGGCGTGGATGTCCGTCATGGGAAGGTTAGATGTAGGGCTGCAAGCCGGACATCATCAACGCAGTGACCTAACAAATAGTATTGATGATGAGGACTGATCACCATTGTCGACTTCCAGCGGCACAAGGGGTATTCGTCTCCACCACAAGCTTCCAACAGCGCCGCTCCTTTGGCATAAGTTTTGGTCAGATGCGCAAGTCGGACCTTGACATGCCCTGCTGATAGAGTCTTCTGGCTTCTTCGAATGCGTAATTTATGTCGTCTGTGAACCTGCTCAGCTTTTTCCATGACGCTGCTTTCAAACTTTTCGTAAGAAGGGCCAGAAGTCGAGAACGCAAAATGCTTCAACCAGACAACGGGACTCGACCCAGAACAATATCAGCCCCACAAGTTAGGAATAGAGTTTTCATTAAGAGCTCACCAGTCTGGATTTCGCTGGGTTCGACACCACCATTCTTATCCCAGCATTCTATGTAACATCAAATGAACGTGAGCAACGGATAGCACTTTTGGGGTCTTCGTATACGTACTTCCATGAAAGTAACTCGGAAAGATGTCTTGATTGGTTCGATTGTATGTGCCGATCGCAAAGTTCGCGTACAGAGGTGCCACAAGACGCACCGCATCAATTTGAGCTTCTCCCAAGAAAAATTGATTATTTAAATCCCGATTCTATCGGAATAACAACGCGCGTTACACGCGTGCTTAGGTGATTCATTGTCGTGCTTCACTCACGAAAGCTGCCAGGACCTCTGCGACGGGATGTGTATAATTTGAAACACAAGCCTACAAAGAAATTTTCCTTCAGGAAGCTGCCAAGCAATGGGATACAGTCAAGATCGGAGGCTAGCTTGAGTGATCCCAATGATACATTCGCCTCCGCAAGCTTGCACAACATCCAGGAAAGCCACCTGGGCTCCTATTAAAGCTGCAATTCCAACTCTGAACATGTCCAACGGGTGGATAGGGCCAGTCGTAGAGATACTAATTGTTCCCGATGATCGTACGTAGTATCGAGATCGAGCACTAGTGGTGAAGCGAATTCCCCGAATCACGTGAGTGAGGTTCTGCGACGGCTTCGGTCATCGTACCACTTGTTGGATGAACAGGCCATGACGACGCGCATATAAGTAATGCTCATACCGGTTATTGATATTATGCTGTCCATGCATATGCCACGTTTCACTGTTGCGCTTACGCTACTCCGCCCCACGTGTACAGAAGGCTCCGTGAAGGCTGTATATCGCCAAAGACATGCCCGCGTTGTTGATGGATGGATTTATCATAGAGGCTGGAGCCATTTCCACTCATGTAGCATTGAGACACCCTGTATGGCACAGATATTTCTCTTGTTTCGTCGCGCATGTTTTAGACCACCTTCATGTATTGGGATAGAAGCTTTCTCGCGAAAGATATTCATTCATACCTTTTAGATATTTGATATCATCCATTCATGTGCATGACAATATAATTAATGTGTGATGGTCACTTCGCTTGCAATGCTCTTGATCGTTATTTACCTTGCTCGTACATAAGAACATTTTTTCTTCGCACCCCTCCTAAAATTGTTCCTAGTTTTCCCAAGCATGGTCAGCCATTTCTCGTGAATATCATTCATATCTACGAAACTATCTCGCCCATAAGTACAAGCGTGACACCTTAGATACGCAAAATTGTATTTTATTTCTCCTTAGACACTGTAATATTCTATATAATACTTTGAAGGATGCGCTCCCCTTCTCTTCCAACCCTCTGAGTGCACACGCCCAAAGCTGAAGTAAGTACTCCCTGATTCATATTACGTACCTACTGACGCCACGCACGTTGGGTGCCAGTATAATAGCACCAAAGTCACAATGCGATTCTGGAATGCTCTTGTCCCAATCGCCCTTGTTCCCGTTGTCGTAGCTGATTTTCACTATACCACTGCCGGGTGCTTCGACCACATGGGAGTCCCTACTATTCCATCGTTTCTGGCTTTGCTCCCCTCAAACCAAGGCGAGCCGAAGTCCAAAACGGATTTTGCTCCTGCTTAACCAATATTTGCCCAACAGACTCATGTGACGATGCAACGAACCCGAAGTCCTTGTTCTACCAGCTGCAGAATGGCCAAGTCACATACAACAACCAACTGACCACGCTGCTTTGCGGTGCTAACATTACGGTGGAATACCTCGACCCTCCCATTTGGAGCAGCTCAGATGGAGGACATGGTCGGTGTTACGGGCTTTCGGGCGGTGTGAAATCAGAGAATTGCACTAATCATGCCAATCTAAAGGGCTATTGCTCATTGCGGGATGCAGGCTTCTGCGACTCGTACTTGTGCAAATAACCCGGCGCACAGTGACCAATGCAGACGTCCGAAACTTCGGTATCTGGACGCTGGCTGCCTTGTCACGAGACTTGTTTATGTTTTTGTTCAGAGTATTGTCGTATAAAATACTCTTGAAATGATGATTGCCATTTTCATCAAACTTTATGATTCAGAGATTGCATTCCACAGCACTCGTGCGCCGGAAATGGGGACATGACTCCAGTGAGAGCTTCAGTACCGTTGAGCAAGCGACGACGATGATGTGACACCTGACCAGCCTCTCTTAGGCCCAATTACTGTACTGACACAACCAACAACATCAGGAAACCCCCGAGGCTGATTGAGGTGATTGAGATCATTTCAATGTCACACAATTTACAATCACCACAACCAGGTCCCCTGATTACAATTACACCAATCACATGGGTGATTGAGCTGATTATACTGATTGTACTAATTGTCACATTTCTCTTCTACATGTTGAAGTTCATCGATAAAATTATTATATATTTAAAAATTATGTTATGTACATACAGGCATGCAAGTAACTAATACCAAAACACAATGGTGCAGAACAATAGGAGGAAAGCGAAATGGGTGAAAATACAATGTAATTAAACAAAGCAAACACACACCTCAACCGCTCAGGTGGCTATGTCCCGTTTGGGGGGAATGCATATGGTCGCGTGATATAGGAGTGATGGGGTATGAATGTGGTCAAACGGGGGTGGCACTGCCACCACCCACTACACCTGACCTCTGTAGACCTTGCGCAGATTACACCGTTTGGGTTATTGAGGGAAGCGGCCTGGGCCCCACTGTCTCTGCCGACACACACGATTCAGATCCAGGGACATTTCGTTCACATGCCGATTATTTACATTGAAACCCTGACCGTACTTACAATACAAATAGCGGCTCCGATCGCGGCCTGCTCGATGTTCCGGAGTGCCACTTAGAGCTCTTGCACACTGTGTTGGACCGGCGAACAAGTCAAACGGGGTGCTAAAGGGGAAATCGGCCTGTAGTTGGTTGCAGATGGGTGTAGATGTGCAACATTGAGGAAAGGGTCTGAATGTCCAATTTTCCATTTGAATTCTGTGTCTGCTACCTGATACAAGGTTGCAATGTAGACCATGGGTCGAACGGGGTAAAGGCTGGTGAAACGGCGTAGATACAAATTCCTCTCTTCAGGCTTGTTGCTAGATCAAAATTGATAGTTCGGATGCAAATTTGAGGAAAATTTTCCGTTCCCTCCAAACCAAAAATCACTGGTAGAACAAGAAATCACCCCAGAATGCCTTCCCTCCCGCAGAACGCATCTTCAAATGCATTTGACTCATCAATTCTGACCCTTCAGGCCACTTTCTCCAGTGGCATGACCTTGTTGACTACGGCTTCCACTGCCAACAACTTCCTCAGAGCTACAGATGGCCCGTTCGCAGAGTTGAAAGAGCTTATTGCACAACATACTTCCATCGAAGACAGGCCACAATTCCAACCACTTGTCCCCCCCGATCAAATTGTGAAGGGGATTGTGCAGAAAATATGGGGTCATTCATCTATTGAGACAGTCGGAGATATTGGCGATATACTGGAGAAGGGACTCGTTACGGATGATTTGAGCCTCGAAGGTGCGTTGGTGTCTTTGTTGCTTACACCGTTTAGAAATACTCAAGGACCCCCTGCAGTTTTTTTAGAAGCTTGCATTGCCGGTTACGCACAGAAAAAGGGGAAGTCCCCCCAAGAAGTCATGAAGAGGTTCCGTTTACACAATCCCACTGAAGCGGGCCAAATGGCTTGGCAAACATGGCTTAAGCTTCACCGTAAGTTAACCACATACTCGCAAGATATTAGGAACTAATCATTTCCTAGCTGGAATTGACAGTCAAGAAGCAGCATGCCTGCGTAAATTACAGCAACAGGATATCGATAGGAAGTACCCTGACCAGGCAGAAGAAGCAAAAGCGTTCTATGATAAAATTCTGATACATTGCGGGGACCTTGTTTTATCGAAGGACGAGAGGGAGGCTCAACCAAATGAAGGCCTTTATCTGTTGCAGAAAATAACGGGAAAATATGCTGCTCAGGTATAGTACAGAATCCAGTAACTATCGCAATCGATTGTACTGAAAAATTTGCTGATAGCTCGCTGCACTCAGCTCCATTCATCCTGTTGGGGTGGCGTTAGTGGGGTTCATAGCAGATGACAAGCTTGCCCCTCGGGATTCGACTATCGCATTTACGAGCTCACCAATGATTGCGGAAATGGTCAAAGCTATGGGCCTACCCCTCACAGAGGATAGTGCCTTAGCCATGAGGAACTTCTACGACGGGATAAAGGCATTCAGGTACAAGGTTTATGCAGGAAAGGCACAAATAACTTACTCATATCCTTCCAGCCCATATCAACCCGACGCCATTAAACAGAGGTATGAGCAATTTGTCTCCTAGCCCGCATTGGCTGAAATAGGCGCAGAACCTTTCTTCAACATCTTGGGGCGTTTACGAACCCCGATAAATCTACCAGTGAGGTGTTTGGTGCCTCAAGCCTCATGAAGACCGTCGTGATGCACATGAAGCAAAGTGTCCATTTCAGCGATGATCTGGACAGGTATTTGGGAAATGGAACGGGAAACACGGCCATCAAATCAGAGGTTGAGGGCGATGCGAACAACGTGGATTACCACACACCCGCATTAAAAAGGAAGGAAGGCCTCGCCTTTGCAGACGAGACCTACGGCTCGCATCCCCAACGCCGCACTGAGTGTGCTGGGCGGCTTAAAGCAATCATTCGTATGTCCTTTTGCCATGCCGTCTGATTGCTCATCTGACATCTACTTGTAGTGGAGGCAACAGGGATAACTGAGCTTGGGCACAACTGGAGAGTCGCCAACATACTTTCATTCATGCTTGAGCATCGTCTCCGTTTTGTTGGTTGGCATCGTGGTGTCCCATGCTTGAACAAGTCACTACCGTGCGATTGGACCCCACGCGAGTCTGCACGGTGTATAATGCAGCTCACTCACCAGGATCCGGAGCAGACGTTGAGGGTGGAACAAATGACAGATGGTGAGGAAAATGTCAATGAAACTTCAAAAAAACACAGCTCACCGGTTTGGGCTTACCAGACGAGTACCTGACGCGTGAGGTGCTACACTATGCACCAGATGCGAAAGGGAATATTACGAAATACCTATTGCCTGAACACGAGACAAGGAGGGCAATTGCGAGGACAGCGGTCGTCCCCGCACGAACCCAAAAACGTAAGGACAGCACGCCAAACTCCCCAACTGTGGAGATGGAAGGAGATTCGGTTGGTGATAATCAAATATCATCCCCGTCTTCCAAGCGACGCAAGAAGTCCAAAGCCACTCGCGCACGCACCCTCACGAAGGCAAAACCTCCCCGTGTGACACCTGGGGGCCACAACCAAATGAAAGAAGCCGCGGTACCAGAGAACGAGGTGAAAGGTCCACAGGACGATGGCATCGTACCCGAGACACCACCTCGCTGTCAGAGACCAGATTTAAGACGAAGGAATGTCTCCGTAACGGAGGGCTTTGGCCTCAGCGACTTCTGCCAGGAGTGCTGTGCCTAGTGACACGTCCGTGCCCTAACTTACTGACTGGCACTTAGAACCTAGTGGGGGTAACTCTAGTTGATTTATCTGCTGGGGCGTAACCTATGTACAAGTAGTGTAT